TTGTCACAGCTTGCAATAATGAATTTTAAAGAAGGCTGCATATCGTTTGTCAAGGCTTGTGCACAGAAAGTGGTGGAGAGATCGCCGCTTAAGTACAAGTTGGCCGTGGGTGCAGGCTGTTTGGACCCTGTCTGTGCATTGTCTTTGGAGGCTGGTCTCAGGCGGCTTACGCTGGCACTGGAAGTACTTTCCGAGCACCACTGGATGACCGGCTTGCAAGCAGAGCGAGCCCATCGCTCCTACGTGAAGGTGTGCTCAGAAAGCAGTACACGGGCACAGCTGGCAAACTTTGACAGGAAGAAACAGAGGCTGGATACTCTGTGGACAAACATGTTCCCAGGATCACAAGGAGCTGCAGTTTTTTGTGAAACTTCTCTCGTGCTTGTCTCACGGCAATGCTGCGGTAGAGAGAGGCTTTTCCTTCAACAAGGAATGCCTTGTTGAAAATTTGAAAGAAGATTCTCTTGTGGCACAGAGGGTAGTGCATGATGGGATCTTGGCAGCAGGTGGCATCGCTGAAGTAGACATTACCGACAGGATGGTGAAGACAGTTCGCAGTGCCTACAGCGTCTACAGGGAGCTGCTGCAAACAAAGAAGAGAGAGCGAGATGAAACAACTGAATTAGAGAAGAAGAAAAAGAGAGCAGCAGCTCTGATTAAAGAGCTACAATAAAAAAAGCAAAGGCTGCTTAGTGAAGCGCAACTTGAAGCTTCTATTCTTCAAGACGAAATAAACTCTCTCAAACCCTAATTGAAGTGCATTTCGAGAATGAGGGCAGTTGCAATAAATGTTTTACTCTACAATGAAATGTATTTTCTGTACCCTTTTAATATGCTTCACGGACCATTTCCACAAAATGCTGTCTTTTATATAGGTCAGGGAATTTTAGCTAAAATGGTCAGTGAAAACCTGGAAAAGTCAAAGAAATCGAATTCTGCAATTTGATAGACACCCTGTTCTTGCATGTGCAGTGACAACTCGACGATCAGGGACGTGACACAGCACGCAGCTTGTCGATTGGTCTAAACCAGGTCTCAACAAACACTAGTGAAGTCAACAACAGTTCTTGATCCCACCCACATTTACGACAGAACTATTCAATCATAAGAGTTGGGAAACTCTTTGTAGGCTCCATGTGTCAAAATGAGGACGCTTCACTGACCCAGTTTTTGTGATTTAACACATTGTCGCGCCACGTGTTGATCGGCACACCCACTACTGAGCGCATTATTTGTGTTTCATGTTGCTCCCGGATGGCACGACGTTTTTTTTTTTTTTTTTTCGAAAAATCAAACACCAGAAAAATCGGGCGAACTTTTTGTCCGGTTTTTAAAACGCAGTTTTGCTGCAAATTGTTGTCGGCTGCAAATCTAGCAACAAGGCTGCGGAGAAGCATCAGCACCAGATAAACAGTAAACAAGCAGGCATCGCAGCAAGCGAAAATGTGTTGCGACTGATCGAATTCGTCGATGACGTCAATCGCTGACATTTTGTCACATTGCCGAAGTGGGCGGAGTAACGACGACGGGCCACGCCTTCCCCTCCCTCTGAAAGAGAAAGGTGGCAAGGCCATGCGAAAATCTGAAACCAGCTGGACACAATGTTCTAATCCCTGTAACTTCCCTAATATAGCTCGTATTTGCAAAATTCTTGCGGCAGTAAGTTTATGAAGTAAAAGTGTAAAAGTGCACATATTTCTCTTTACAACAATATTTGAACCTTGGGGTTGTTTACTGGCCCTTTAGATGTCGTATGCCGGGGTCTACCATGGCTCCGTGACATGTTTCTGTCACAGATATGAATGACGTAACATATTTACTAACAGACTGCAAAGAAAGAAATTGGCAGATCTCTCATACAAAAGGAATCGATGATATGCAAAGCACGAGTGAGGAAGGTTAATATATCATATTAAAATCAGCGTAGCGTTACGAGAAAGACAAAAAATTATGCCATACATGACTTCAATGTCATGATTATCATGTTTGCACCAGTGATATACCTTCGTCATTCATTCACGTCCCGTAATACCAAATTTGGTATATGTGAAGCTAGCGAAACAGCCACGAGGGCACAATGAGCATGGTGTGTAGTCATGACTTACATGACATGCATGTCATGATTTCCACGTTAGGGTCTGTCACTTATGTTAGCCATGCAGTTATGTCATACGCTACCAGTTTTGCAAAATAGTCAAATCTCAATATAACGAAGTTGAGGGGGAGTTGTAATTACTTCGTTAGAACCATTATTTCATTATGACCAACATCCATTTCTACCGACAATTAGCCAACAAGAGAGAATGTACTCGCCAACGAATGTCGCACAGAGAAAAACAGCCGTCTGAAGGCAAGAAATAGCAAAATAATTCAGAACAATTAACTTTATTTTCGCCAAAATGAGCACATCAGCTGGCAGATCACTTCGAAGAAAAATAGTTCTTAATAGACATTTGCCGATTCTTTCTCACTTGAATGACTGCTTTTTCAGCAGCAGCAGCTATTTCGAGTACGTCCTCGTTGTTATCGTAAGCACCAAAGAAGCGGCACAGCAGGTCTGTCGCATCCCGCGCTTGCACGGCCAGCGGGGGTTTGCCAACATTAGGCTCTGGGGTGTCGACACATTTGTCACTGCTGTCATGCATGCCTATCACCGCAGGCACAATCTGCATCTGACAACTCTTCAGTTGTCATCGCGTCAGCATCGGCGCAGACGTACATCTACCACAGTGAGCGTCCCACGACATCTGGGCCTGGTCGCTCGCGGCACCCACTGGCGACATCTCTGAAATCTTCGGCCACATTTTTTTTTCTTGATGCCAGACTCAACGATTTTCAACATCGCCAGCTTCTGCTTGATTGTAATATTATTGCGCTTACGTTTGCCGCTGCCGTTGTCCATCTCATTGTTCATCTTCCCGCCTCGGCCAATCTCCGGCGCGGAGGTGAAGGGGAGAAGGAGGTCAGATGCGCAGGCGGGTCAACAAGTTCTGCAGGAGAGGGGAAGCCGGCTGGAGCGCAAGCTCGAGCGAGTTGCTGCACACGTGAGTCTATTAGTTCTTGAGGGAAGGGGAGGCAGGGAGATTTCCTCCCACACGCGTGTTACAAACGGCTCCCAGGGAGCGCAAGGCGCAAGTTTTGAATTACCGCCGCCATCATGAAACGTAAACCGTCGCGCGCTATAAGATATTGAGTTGATGTATACCATAATAATCAGTAAATGCTCATTGTAGATGAAGAATGGTTCGTTATAGCCCTTGAAGAATGGTTCGTTATAGTCATTATGAGGTAATTTTTGCTTTATTAAAACGAGGATTTAAATACATTGCCATCTAGGTGAATTTCAAGGGGAATTAATATTGCTTCATTATATTCATTAGTTTGTTATGTCCCACTTCGTTATAAAGAGGTTTTACTGTATATGTAAACGAAACCACCACAGGAGCAGCAACACCATGACATTTAAATCATGACGTACATGTCACCATTTTCGTGTTATGATTAGTTAACTGATGGTCCTCATACAATTATCTTGTTCTATACCAATTTCGGTAGTATAGATCTTATTACCCAAACAGCCAGGACAGCTAAAAGTTGTAGGCGGCTACATAGATAGGTAGGTAAAGAAGTAAGTAAGTAAAGTAAAGTAAAGTAGGTAGATGGGTGGGTGAATGGCTAGGTAGGTGGGTAGGTTGGCTGGGCTGGGCTGGGCTGGGCTGGGCTGGGCTGGGCTGGGCCGGGCTGGGCTGGGCTGGGCTGGGCTCACACTTCGAGCCAGTGACCTCACACTTCTCAGCGTGTGATGCTAATCACTATGCCACAGAGTGTCCCTTCTCCAACATGTTAACGGCAAGTCATTTACATACCTGCCAACTCTTCCAGTTTTTTCCATAAAATGTACGAATTTCGACCGCGCTTACGATTTTACGAACCTTGTCTCAAATTTTATGCAAATCATATTATTTCTGACAAAAAAAAAGTAAAATAGCGTGGCCTCCACGATTGACTATGGCACATTGCCATAGCTAGTCACGGAGGCTGCAAAAACGGCTTTGTGCTGTATTCCACCGCCAGGAGAGCACAATATGTATTGGTGTTATCTTTATCACATACCTGCCAAGTCTCCCGCATTATCTGGGAGAATCCCATATTTCAACCATTTCTTCCCTTTGTACGGTTGCCATGAATATATCCCGTAAATTGAAATTTGTGTGTGAGATCTGGCTGTATTGACAAAAAAGCTGGTCAGTCTGTTCCAGGCTTTTTGTGAGCCTACCACATTTTGTAAACGAATTTGAGAGGCGTTCATCTAAACGTACAGTAGAGTCTCGGTGATGCGAAATGTGGCAGATACGAATTAGTGAAATTCTCCAGCCAAATTTATGTGTCTATTGGGCCAAAATTCATATGTTCCGAACACTTTTCATAATTGCTGCGTATGATATGAACTTTTGTACCGAAACTGTCGAACGAAAAAGATGATCGAGAGCAGCGTGCTCGAAGCTTCAGAAGTACATGTGCGGCCAGCACACGCACTGTCTTCTACAGTTCGTGCGGTTGTCGTTGCCACAATCGCTGTGGATGAAACCGTGGTCATTCTACACCATCGTGTATGACGATGACGTTACTGACAGAAATCCGAAAGTGTGCGCTCGGCCAACGCTTGACCAGTCAAACCAACACTGCTTTCCGCAAAGTCTGTGGACAAAACGGCGGCAGTTGAGATCATTGGTAGCACAGAACGACTTACCCCCGTATTCACAAACACTCATTGACTTGAACTCGGCTTGAAACGCCCTTCTATGCACCACATTCGAAACGCGTCTGTGCCTTTGTGCTGCCTTGGCACCGCCTAAAGACAGCGCATTCGAAAGGCGTTTGTGCTGCATTGAAGTCGGTGGCAAGTCAAGTCCAAGTTAAGCATTTCTGAATATGGGGGTTAGTTTTGAAGCATGTGGTAAGCAGAAGACCTGAATCATGCTACTCCTTTTTTTTGCCAGGTGTTGCCGACTCCCACGCACTTGTTCTTGCCATGGCAACGCACGACAGTGTCATGAAAGTTGGCCTGCCCGAATGTCGGGTGAGTGTCAGCGATTGCTTTTATTTGTGCCATTCTATGCCGTTCTGTTTTAAAGATTATTGTAGTAACTGCTTAATACTTTTTTGGTTCTGGACAGGTTTTCATTCAGTATCTGACTTCGATTGATTTAACAGGGTACTGTAATATGGAATGAGCTGCTCATGTCCAGTCATTGGTGCAGAAGCGGGGCAAACTTGGAAGACAAATATAAAAATGAAGCGCATGCACAATGATGCCTTGCAACTTTACTTCAAACCGAGTTGTGTAGCCCAAAACTGTGTGCACCTTGTCTGCCTGTACAGCTATTTACAGTCAAATCTCGTTAGTGTGTACCCACTGCATACTAATGGTTAAAACGTAGCTGCGACGAATCCCCGACCGAGTCTCATAGAAACTAATGCATTCGCGGACCGCTTAAGTCGTAGCGTTCGGCTTTGTCTACCGGTTAGTGCATACTAACCGCATATCGCGATAACATTTCGCACCCCAAATTTGACTGCCCCACTGAACTTGCAGATGCCACATCGTGCTGTGGACGGTTTTCTATTGTGTTAACCCATATTTGCCACGTTCCATTTCCCAAGTTTTGTTATCGTCCCAAAACACTACCCGATTCTCAGCGCAAACCGCGCCTGCAGTTTTCAAGAAGCTTCCGGACTGTAGTAGATCATTTTGATAAGATCACGCCTACTCTGCAAACTGTACAGATTATTCTGGAACCTACGCACCGCCAGCGATAACGCTAGAACATTCAACGGCAAGAGTATAAATGCCGACGCGCTTCGCCGCTTGTCAGTAGTTGATCGACGGCCGACGCTCCGTTCGCCGCTATCAGTCCAAGACTGCTACTGTAATCAGACTTTCCATTTACCGGGCACAGGTTTACCCAAATAAACAGTTAAATTCCAACGCAAAGTCTCCTGTCTTCGGCCATGCCACGACCCCGTGACATCTGGTGGAGGTGCTGCTTCTTTGATGTTCTGGACGCCCCCTTCAAGCCGCGACCCCAGTCCAAGCGGCAAAGAAGACACGGACGCTAACCCTGAACAGTGAACAAGCCGCAGGCAGAGGGGACTACAACCAGAGTACAGGCCCCTTCCTGAAGCAGCCAGGCAGACCCGGATCCCGACATCAACTACTGCATCCATGACCGCCCCCGTGCAGCCTGCACCACTCCTGCTCCGGCAACCCAAAGAGCCGCCAACTTTCCGCGGTTTGCCACTGGAAGACCAGGAAAGCTGGATCGAAAGGTTCGACTGCGTCACCGCCTTCAATGACTGGACAGACGATGACAAGCTCCGGCATGTGTATTTCGCCTTAGAAGATGCTGCTCGGACCTGGTTCGAGAATCAAGAGCGAAGCCTTACAACGTGGGATGTCTTTCCCGCCGGGTTCCTCACTACTTTCGCAAGTGTGGTGCGCAAGGAGAAGGCCGCAGCTCTTCTCGAAACCCGCATGCAGATGCCAAACGAAAACGTGGCGCTATTCACAGAAGATATAATTAAACTTTCCCGCCACGCTGACTCCGACATGTCCGAGGAGAAGAAGGTCCGTCTGCTCATGCGAGGAGTAAAGCAGGAACTCTTCGCCGGGCTGATCAGAAACCCGCCAAAGATGGTCGCCGAATTCATTTCAAAAGCATCTACGATAGAGAAAACGCTCGAGATGCACACACGGCAATATAACCGTAGCTTCTCATCTACAAGCTACGCCGGCATTCAAGCGCTTGGAACCACTGACTTGCGTGAGACGATCCGAGCGATCGTGCAAGAAGAGCTATGAAAATTACTTCCTTCAGCGCAGCATCACGTGGGATCCGTCGCAGACGTCGTACGCCAGGAGATCCAGCAATCGCTGGGCATTTCTCAGTCTCAAGAGCCTCAGCTGCAAGCCATGAGCTATGCTGCTGCAGCCCGCCGCCACGCCCCTCCTCCACGCGCACGCCAAAACACTGCCCCATCGCTCTTCCGTCGCCAGACGCCACGCTGCCACCACCCCCACCGATGTCCTACCGTTTGCCAGCGGCCCAGCGCAGTGCGCCGAGGAAGACTCACGTCTAGCGCACCCCTGACCACCGCCCACTCTGCTACCACTGCGGCAAGGCCGGACACGCATACTGCTGTTGCCAATAACGACAGATGGGACTGCGTGGTTTCGCTGTCAATGTACCGCGTCCACAGTCAGGAGAACGGCCACGTGACATCGCTGACTACCTGACAGGAACTCGGTGGACACCACGAAGCCCTTCCGGTTCGCCGTCGCCCAGCCGCCGCATGTCACCGCACCACCGGCAGTACTCTGGCCCAACGCGGGACCGGTCTCTTAGCCCGTATCCGGGAAACTAAGGGCAGCAACCAATGGAGGTGCGGTTGCTGTGCGACGAACTATCGAAGATCCTCCGATGACGACGACGCCGCGACGGAGCTTTCTGAACACAACACCAACCAGGCGAAGCCCTGACGGCGAAACCTCACTTACCGAAGGTGACCTGATGACACAACATGGAAGCAGCGGAACAGGCCGACGCAGTCGTGACCCGACGCCACGCCCTAGCTGTAATGCGAGACGCCGAACTAGCCCTCGACGTTCTTATCGACGGCCACAGTGTAACCGCTCTCGTCGATACTGGAGCCGACTACTCCGTCATCAGTGGGTTGTTCGCCGCGAAGTTAAAGAAAGTTAGGACATGTTGGGAAGGCCCTGAAATCTGCACAGCCGGAGGTCATCTCGTAACGCCTGCAGGAATCTGCACAATGAGAGTCACCATTAAAGGCCGTATTTATCCTACAGACTTCGTAGTCCTACAGCGTTGCTCGAGAGATGTCATGCTTGGCATGGACTTCTTATGCCTCCATGGTGCTGTCATCAACCTAAAAACAAAGTCGATAACGTTATCCACAGAAGAAGCACTACTGCCGCACACGCCGTCAGGAAACCATGCCTTGAATGTTCTCGAAGAACAAGTCGCCATTCCGCCTCGCTCAAGCGTCATTATTTCAGTCGGCGCTCCTAAATCACCTGATTTAGAAGGTGTCGTTGAAGGCAGTCAGCTTCTGTTGGTCACCCGAAATATTTGCATCGCAAGAGGAATTGCAGAGCTGCGGGGAGGCAAAGCAACGGTTATGCTCACGAATTTCAGCAATGAGTACAAACATGTGAACAAAGGAACAACGGTCGCATACATCGAAGAAATTGTCGAAGCCACCAGTGCTTTCGCCTTCACCGATTCTGCGGAACCTGCTCAGAGGAACCAAGCCCCTCCCATAGCTTTCGATGTCAATCCCAGACTTCCGAACCATAAGCAAGAACAGCTCAAGGCCCTTCTCCTGCAATACGAAGATTGCTTTTTGTCGTCATCAAAAATTCGGCAGACCCCAATCCCGAAACATCGCATCATAACCAAAGAAAATGCCAGACCACTCCGTCAGAGTTCGTACAGGGTTTCGACATGAGAACATGAGGCCATGAAGAGACAAGTTGATGAAATGCTGCGGGATGACATTATCCAGCTGTCCAAGAGTTCATGGGCATCCCCCGTGGTGTTAGTGAAGAAAAAAGGTGGGACCCTACGTTTCTGCGTCGATTATCGCCGCCTGAACAAAATCACAAGAAAGGACGTGTATCCTCTCCCACGAATGGACGACGCACTTGATCAGCTCCATAACGCCGAATACTTTTCGTTAATGGACCTCAAGACTGGCTATTGGTAAATCGAAGTCGACGAAAGTGACCGAGAGAAGACGACGTTTATAACACCGGACAGCCTCTTCGAGTTCAAGGTGATGCCCTTCGGTCTTTGCTCAGTCCCTGCAACTTTTCAACGCGTTATGGATACTGTACTGGCAGGATTGAAGTGGCAGACTTGCCTTGTGTACTTGGACGATGACGTCGTGTTTTCCTCGAGTTATGACAAGCATCTTCGGCGCCCTGAAGCTGTACGTCAAGCCATCAAGAAGTCCGAACTCACACTGAAGCCAGAAAAGGGCAGATTTGCGTACGAGGAGCTCTTCTTTCTGGGTCATGTTATTAGCAAGTCTGAAGTTCGTCCCGATCCACGGAAAACAGCCGCCATCGCCAACTTCCCACCGCCCACTGACAAGAAGGCGGGGCGCCGATTTCTGGGCCTGTGTGCCTAATATAGGCGGTTCGTGAAAAACTTCGCCCGCATCGCCGATCCTCTCACTAACCTTACCAAGGCCGACGTGGAGTTCAAGTGGGAAACGTCGCAGGAACACGCTTTTCAGGAGCGTAAACATCGCCTCCAGACGCCTCCGTTACTTGCCCATTTCGAGGAACTCGCCGAGACAGAAATACACACTGACACAAGCAGCGTAAGTCTTGGCGCCGTTCTTGTGCAGAGGGCTGACAGACTTAATAGGGTTATTAGTTACGCCAGCCGATCGCTATCCAAAGCAGAAGCTAATTATTCCACAACAGAAAAGGAGTGCCTCGCCATCATCTAGGCTACGTCGAAATTTCGCCCCTACCTCTACGACAGGCCCTTCAAAGTTGTGAGCGACCACCACCCCTTGTGTTGGCTAGCCACCTTGAAGGACCCTTCAGGTCGCCTCGCACGATGGAGCCTGAGACTTCAAGAATATGACATTACTGTCATTTACAAGTCCGGCAAGAAACACTCCGACGCCGACTGTCTCTTTCGTGCGCCTGTCGACCAACCACCACCCGACGACCCGGATGATGACTACTTCTTGGGAACGATAACTACCGACGACTTCGCTGAACGACAGCGGGCCGACCTGGAACTTAAGGCCCTAATAGAATACCTCGAAGGCAGGACCGCCGAAGTTCCGAAGGTATTCAAGCGCGCACTTGCGTCGTTCTTCCTGCGAAACAGTCTTCTACAAAAGAAAAACTTTTCGCCGCTTCGAGCTAAGTACCTCCTTGTGGTGCCTTCAGCTCTGCGACCAGAACTCCTGCAGGCCCTGCACGACGATCCGACGGCAGGGCACCTCGGTGTTTCTCGCACGCTCGCGAGGCAC